TTTTCATGTTTTTTTGACCATTGCATTTGTCCAGGAAGACCCCCTCAGTAGTATTCGCTTTTGTAGGTAATTGTTCGACTTGTTGAGCGTGTATGATGATTTCAGTAAACTCCCGACGGGCACGCAGCAGAGATGAGGACGACTGAAGACGATTGACTCGACCATCATCCGCTCGTACCCCTCCTTCCTCTAAAGGCGGAAGCGCGGGAAGCGAAATCTGGCGGGGCATTCCTTCACAACGCTCTCTGAGCAGGCCTAAACCAGGAGTCTCAGGAGTGTCGAAGCCGATGCCGAAACGCTGAGATCGCGTGCGCGAGAGGTGACCAGGGTCCAGCACCATCAATGCAATCTCAACTGGCACACTCCAGCTGACCGTGGCCCGACGCTTCTTTGCTCGTCGAAGTTTGCATATCAAGCGATTCACCGAGGCGTCTGCAACAAGCTCCATTTTGGTCGTACGGGTCAGAGTGCCCGCTATCGGAGGTACTGCCAGAAAATCCGCCAACTGCTTATCAGAATCAACTAGGTGCGTCGCTTCCATGCCTCCTTCTGCTCCCGTTACTTTCAGAGACTCGTGCAACTCATCAAAGTCGGGGGAGAAGCCCGCTAGGTGACCAGCAGAGCGACCTGCAAGAGCTCTAGCTAAACGATGTACTTCAGCTTGGTGTCCTAATCGTCGTGCTTCCCTAAGCTCATCTACCATGTCCTCTCGTTTACGTGCACGCGTGCGACGAAATAGACGACGTAACATGTAGCTGATACGCTTAATACGCTGACATTGCTCAAGCTACGTGTCATTGTAGTCGTGCATGTGCCCGTACTGTGCCCAGTGAAGATGTGCTGCCCAGCGCTGTTCACGTCGCTCTCGTACAAGGCGCAGCCTCTCTTGTCTGAGTACTCTGTATATATCATGTGCAGGTTTCGGAGCCAATGCAAAATGTGTGCGTGCGATTTTCTGGACAATCTGAATCCAGGTATCATAGTGTCGATCTGTGTGCCCGTCTTCACGAAGCGTCTCAAATGATGCAGCCGAAGTAACAAAAGCCTGCTCGAGCTCTCGATGGAATTCGAGTCGATGGACACCCGTCTGAAGAGCACTCGATAACTTCTGATAGTCCCAGCGAAAGAAACCAGGATCAGGCAAGTGAGTAGGAAGAGTGTAAGACACCTCCAACAGCACAGGCATGTGGTCCCTAGGGCGAGAGCTGGGGATGAGCTGCAATTCACGACCACACGACCACTCCGCCAAGCAACCTGACATCTGCGAATGCCTAGGCCCAGTCCCCGAGGGATGATGAGCATGTCAATCGTGCTGGAGTCCCCTGTTGTGCCATAGTATGTTGGGCCCGCCCGAGGAGTGTATGTGCATGGTGCCATAAGGTCCAGATCTAGAAGCATGCTCGCTAGGTGCTCACCCCCTACTCCCTCCTTGCCCAAGTGAAATGTGCCAATATGCTCCTCCTCCTCGTCCCTCTTGATCCCATCCTTCCCCATGCCGAAGCCAGAGTTTAGATCAAGCCCAATGAGAACTGTGCTGCGTCCAGCTGCCTGCTCCACCCGCGTCCGCAGGTGGTCCATCGTGATCTTGACCGCCTTCAGTTGGGCCTGACGCTTCCTGCCTGACTCGTATATCGGCGGGGGGTAGGCCACGAGAAGGGTGAGGTCCAGCTGGGGCCCTTTGACACGAACTTCCCCAAAACGTCCCTGGATGCTGGCGGGTCCACTGCGAACATGCTTCACGTACGACGGATGCACACGACGCCTTAAGACAATACAGCAGCCTGCGCTCGAGTTTGTATGGGGTCCCCTCGCCCAGCCGAAGTGTATGGCGACACGACGGCCCCGAAGACGTTCGATATGATAAGTTCGATCGCTCCACTCACGCACCTGCGTCCCCTGCATGAAAATGACATCCACGTTCAGTCGATCTGCGATCTCCTCGACCCGAGATGCCGACACCAGTCTAAGTGGGTTATATGTAATAAGCTTCAATGAAGGCGACGATAAAGACATGAAACCGCAGGATGCAGAACGAGTTGCCCCCCACCCCGTCGCTGCACGCGCCGATGACTAGGCCCAGCCATGGAGTGAGGCGCGACGCTGATGTGTGGGGAACTCAATTACGCCGCTGGGAATTCCTTGGGAACCTATACGGCGGCTGGAGGAGGAGGAGGAGGAGGAGGAGGAGGAGGAGGAGGAGGAGGAGGAGGAGGAGGAGGAGGAGCAGTAAACATTAAGCAGAACTGGCGGGACACAAGGGCAAGCCTGGCTGCACATAGCACATCAGTCGAGCGGGAAAGGTATTCCCGACTCTGGGGGAAGCCCCCGACTGAGCCCCCCAAGGGCCTCCCTCCTTTTAGCAGTTGGGGCAGTGGCAGGACACTCAAACTGCAGGCTCTGAGCACTAGTGACCCCGAACGCACCTCATTCCTTTCAGAAGAGGACGCTATTTAACATACTGAGCTGCTGGAAGGCATGGCAGACAGGAACAAGGATATGGGACAACACACCACTGCGGTCCCTCGCCTCCCCCAGCCGCGCCGCACACGGCCTTCATCAGGCTCGACAAGATGCCCGAAACGTGATCTTCGGCACGGCCCTGGCCTGAAAAAAAAGAGAGGGTCCTCGGAGGCTAAACTCGCAAGAACAGATATTGCACTTTATCGAAGTCTTCATGACAATAGTCCATGCTGCTGCTCGCGCACACGCTCGACACGCGTGCGCAAAGCTGTCGCAGGGCCTCGGACACGCACATGCTCATGTCCAGCATGCGCGCGCTCACGCTCACAAGTCTTATACACATGTCTCTCTCTGCACAGCTAGCATCCTAGCTGAGCTGCCACGATGGAGTGTATCTTCTCGGTGGGCGCGGCCGACCAGCTCGTGTAGTACCGCCCCTCTTCTAGCAGCTTCAGCTGTCAGACCATCAGCCACGGCATTGAACATTAGCCCTAGATGAGTAAGCCCAAGTTGCTCAGCTTGAAACGTCGTGGGATGAGACTTGGTCCACCTCAAGTCGACGATTCGCTCCCTCGTATCCAAGACCTTCCACCAATGCATCCAACATATCAGACTTTCGCAACAACTCCGTCGGCTTCTGAAAACCTTTGACCATAGGTAGATTATCGGAAGCACATCGGCACCGTACCAGTCGTGCGCCTCAGCATCATGATGAGGGCCAACAATTCGGTCCTCGGGGAGCTCTGGGACTCACCAGGAAGAGTGCCAGCGAGGAAGCCATCCACGTCGGCGAGAGAAGAGCCTCAGCGGGTGCACGCCCAGCTGCATCGCCTTAGCCTACAATCCTTAGTGTGTTCCCCCCCCCCCGACCCGTCGATCCCTGGGTTTTCGTAGTTTTCGGCCGCTGGGGGCCCTCGCCAGGCCCCAGGACCTTCCAAAGCTGATCCGGGAGGAAACGCTGGCCCGGGGAACGGGTCGGGTCTTTGGGGGGACCGCGTATGGAGCAGGTCAAGACATCGGATGTCTGGGACTGGCCACCTCACCGATCCTGGCCAGGTCCATACTTCGAGGGGACAAGCACTGAAAGGAGGAACAGGTGCCCATACCGCTACCCTTGCCTTGTTTCCCCCTTTTTGGGCCTCCTGGGCGGCCCTCGTCGCCACCGCTGCATTCGCCTTGAAATTTTGGTCAGAACGCACCCCGGGAGAGGTCTGGGGAGTCGCGGTATCGATACCTTTTGATCTCCCCAAGCACGGCGACCATGGCCAAGATGTCGCGGGACCTTGGTCGATGCTGATCTTGGTCATGGTCCATGTCGGCCGTCGCCGGTTCGCGAGGCAGATCCATGGATTGACGCTTACCAAGATGGACTGTGACCAAGGTCGGCACAAAGTTTCAGAGTGCAGTTTCGGTCCTGGCTCCCGCTTCCTCTCTCGGGTGTTGCTAGAAGTGCCCCTGGCCCAAGGTGCCCCCAGGTCCCATGGGCTCCAAAATTTAGCGAAAAGCTGGGGGCACCTTGTCCGTTGGTACCAGTGGTGTTTTTCGTTCCGCCTCGTACTTTTGCTCCTCCTGCTCCTCGTCGTCTTTCCCCGCCCCCTGCTCTGCCTGCTCCTCGTCCTTCTGCCCCGGTTGCTGCTGCTCCCCCTCCCCTCCTTTCTCTCCTCTTCCTCCCCCCCTCCTCCCATCCCACTCCTCCTTTGCATCCCCATCCTCATCCACCTCCTCTCTATCCCCTCCCCCCGCTGCTTCAACTGCGTTCTTCTCCTCGTCCGCTTCATTCTTTACCTCCTCGTTCTCCTCCTTGCTGCTGCTGCTGCTGGCCTTCTTCTCCTGCCCCTCCTGCTCGTCCTGATCGTACTGCCTTTCCTCTCTTCCCTCGTTTCGCTGCTCCTGCTCGTCCTGGCCATCCTGCTGTTCCTCTTCCTGATGCCCGTGCTGTTTCTTCGTCTTGTTCTTCTCCTTACCCTTCCTCTTACTCTTCTTCTTACTCTGCTTCTTATTGTTCCTGCCTTTATTATTAGTTTATTATTGTTATTTTTTATCCTGCACTCCCCGCTGCTTTTTATTAATTTGTTTTGTTTTATTGCTCTTCCTCTCCCGCCGTCATCCTCCGAGCTGCGCCCGTTCTCGGGCGACGAGATATCTACACACATCCAGTGCTCCCTGGCCAGGCGCATCCTGAACCCATGAGCTGCGTGTACGCCCTCCTGGCCAAGCCAGGGGGGCGTGGCGTATACACCGCCGCTGGGCTCAGGATGGGCCTGGCCAGAGGAGCAGGGGATGTGCACAGACACCCAGACCCCCGACGTCATGATTTTTTCATGACGTCGACCCCCAGAGGTCTGGACCCACTCCCCAGGACCGGTTTTTCATCCCGAGTCGTTTTGTTGACGGTCCCGACGGACGGTCCCGACGGCCGGTAAGGGCCCCCAGAGGCCAACAATCATGAAGAACCTCCCGTCGTGATTTTTTCATGACTCGAGGGGGTCTGGGCATCTCGCCGCGCCCTGCCTCCGGGCCCCGCGCCGTGGCCCCGCCAGGAGCACGACGCCTTCTTCAAGGCCCCCTCCCCCCCTGGGCGCGCCCGCGCCGACGCACGGGTCCTGCAGGATCCTCCTCCTCCTCCTCCTCCTCCTCCTCCTCCTCTTCCTCCTCCCTCCTCCTCCTCCTCCAGCCGCCGCCACGGCTTAAGCACATTGAAGGCGGCCATAGACCGACACAATGTCCTTTCATAACATGACCTGTCAGGTCTGATGTCACACCATCGGCTGCTGGTGGCCATCATGGCCGCGGGAGCCTGCCTGCAGCTCAAATTGGAAAAATGCTCACGGGAGATGGGGGGGACCCAAACGCCGCCTCAGCTGCTACCTCATGTATGGCGATGCGGACACTACAATCCCCTCTCTTCCTCCCGCCGCGACCGACAGGAAGACATCAACCTGGCGTGCGAGAACTTCGACTGCGTCACGCTGGTGGGCACCACTCAGCGTGCCACACTGCGGGTGCAACAACGCCGACTTGGACGACGATGGCAGGTGGAGGGCGGCTGGTGCCCTGGACAGTACACTAACAGTTCGGCAGGCATCACAATGACCTTCGGATGTAAGATCAAGCAGCGACATCTTCGACGTATCACTGTACCTGGTGCGTCCCTGGCTGGCCGTGGTCTTGCGGTACGCGTCGCCTCTTCCTTCTACGACTTCACCTTCATTGGAGTCTACTTCCCACCGCGAGTGAAGACAAAAGCAGAGGGCCCCAAATATGATCGTACAGTGCGTGGCCTCATTGATTGGATCGCGGAAGTCCTGGCCAAGACCCCGAGCAGAAGCGTCCCGATATTATGCACGGATCTGAATGATGGAATGGGAGTGGTACCTCCTCCTGCAAGTACGAACATTGAGACGGAGGCCATTAGTGAATACGGGGCGCGGACAGAGCACCTGGCTGGACAACTGTTACGCGAGTTACTGGAGAGCCATTATATGACAGCTCGCAGTGCGGATTATGGACAATCTACTTGGTATGGAACGAGTGGCGTGGAGACTCTCATTGACTACATGTGTGTACCCACGAGTTTAGTGTGCAGCAGTATGGGCACCTTGGGCCACTTGTCGCGACAACTTCAGCTTATCGGCACCCGAGTTCGCCGAGACCATATGTTTTTACACCTCAAGTTTCAGCTGCCGACGTGGACGGCCGCAAACAAAGCGAAAACAACACGCACGAGATGGGACCGAGACAAAATGCTGGAAGCCTTTCATGGCGATTCGATTCGAGATGATTTTATTCAAGCTGTGGAAGAGCGCCTCACCCAGGACGAGGACTTGATGCGAGACTTGAAGACCCGCACGCTCCCCGATGCGCTGTGGGCCCAGATTGAAGGCGTGATGATGGAGATTGGTGAAGAGTTTTTTACGGCTGAGCGAGTTGAAGATGAAAGATATACCGCACTACAGGCACATCGTCGACAACTGCTACGCCAGCGCCAAGACCTACGAGTCGCACTGGGCCACACAGCACCAGCTGTTATTTCAATTGGTGAACCTCACATCAGATGCAGGCCAAATGCCATCGGGTTGCCCCCAACTGGCGATCAGAACGCGTCTGGGTGTAGACCTCAGGAGGTCGAAGGGGGCCCTGGGGAGGCGCGACGGGAGATGGTTCAGCGAGACCCTGAGGGTCCTGCCATCGGTGAACCAGGTTCGCCACGCCAACCTCCCTCGGGCCCCGCGTCTTGGGCTGCCTCTGATGAGGCCAGCGGTCCCTCGGCCCGTTTGGGAAATGCGGACGAGGCTCCACAAAACTTAGTGCCAGGCCACAGTGCAGCCGAGCTGACACCTCAGTCAGATGAAGAGCGACGAGTTTCTGAGGAATTGCGAGCCCTTTCGCGCCACATGAAGCGAGAACGTATTCTGGACTGGAAGGCTTTTCAAGAGAAGACTATCAATGAGATGTGGGAAGCATGGAGGAAACGCAAACTTTTTGATGTGTATCGTTTGGCCAGGCGAGCTGCAGGCAGCAAGTTTGGCACCGAGCGTCGACCTTATCTAGCAGCACAAGTCGCCCCGCCGTCGGAGAAGGAATGGCTGGACCAGCTTTCGCTACCCGGCTGTGAAGGAGGTATGCAGGCGACCCTGATCCCGTCTTGGATCAACTGTGCCAGAGCTCGAGTGGATGAAGACCTCGCACCTGATTCAACCAGCCCGTTAGACGAGCAGTTCAGAAAAAAAAGCCAAGTCGGATGTTTGTAAACTCGAACGATGGGCCCTGAGAGCTCCCAAGAGAAAGGCAGTCCCTAGTTGGGCCGCGCCTGTTGAGCTTTTGGCGATACTTCTGGTCCCACCCACGGTCGCCTCGTATCAGAATCGAGGGTTGGGGGCTCCGGAGCCCGAGTTGGACGCGCCAGTTTTTCGATCCATGTTGGAAGATGCCTGTCTCAGAATTCGAACCAGTATGCGTACACCTGTTTTTTGGCACTCTAGCATGGGGGTCTCTTGGGCAAAAAAAGCCGACGGGACTTCTTCTGGGGGAGCGGCCTCGGGGCTTCGTACTATCCACCTCCTCCCTCCGCTCGGCAAGGGCTGGTACTCCACTCGCTCTACGACCCCCGAGATGCCTCCCCAAGTGCTTGGTTTTTTACCTCATGGATGCAAAGAGAATGCAATTGCCAACTCTTTGATCATGATGTGGCGTATCCGTCGCGCTGGCCGCTTAGGTTTGGTTCACCTTCACGACCTCGCGAATGCCTTTGCGAGTGTGAAGTGGGCAGGCATGCGCGCCGCTGCAGTGGAGCTGATGGAAGACGGCCTCGCAAGTCTTGGCTGCCAGCGATTCGAGGAAGCAGCAGTAACTCTGCAGTGCGAGGAGGGCCCCCGTTTTTTCAAACCAGGCTGCGGAGGCATGATGGGGGATCCTTATATCGTACGCCAGTTTGTGCAGAGTTTCCAGACTGCCATCCAGGATTGGGGAAAACGTTTGGAGGCGGAGGGGTTGGTTACTTCGGAGTTGGTGGCTCAACGCCCTTTCCTGGATCGTGCAGTAGATGTGTCACTTAGTCTCTATGCTGATGATATTTTGAAGTTTCTTCTGGGAGGGCACCGCCAAGGGATTCAGGACCTTGCTCAGTCGAGCGAGCGAGCCAACGCCCTCCTGGATCTGGCTCTGGCCGAAATCGGCTGCAAGCAAAACATGAGTAGGCAGGAAATCATTCCAGTGCTTTCGGGGCCTGGGTCGGGGACCGACGCGCGTGAGCTTCGTATGAAGAGGGTTCCCCTTCTCGCTCCGCACTGCGCGCGCGCTCGCTATTTAGGGGGACGTATTGGTGCTAACTGTAGCTATGCAGTAGAATTCACATACCGCAAGAAGGCGGTGGCGGCAGCTTACTACTCGTTAGGAGCTTTCTGGTCTTTAAAGCACACCCCGTGGAGGGTGAAGCGCACACTTCTTATATGCTGTGTACAAAACACTGCACTGCACTCTAACGAAGCCTACATCTGCTCTAAGCAACAGTATATAGAATTAGATCATCTGGTAGCACGCTATGCTAGACGAGCGATGAGAGGAGCAGCCCATGAAATACGAGAGACCGAAACTGGACAGCAGCATCGTGCACTGAGCACAGCACAAGTACTGGAGCATTGGCGAATGGCACCCGCGAGATGCGGGTGCGGCGCCTTCGGAGGTATCAGACCATGATCGCCCACCAGTGGAGAAATGGCCAGATTCTCACCTCCATGCTCGGACACTTCTCGTTCGAAGACACACCGACGCTGATTGATGGTGACTTGAAAAAAGATGCGAACCCGTGGGCGCTACAGCTTCGACAGGATATACAAGAGGGAGTAGATGGGGCTTGATGATGAGGGCGGTTATCTTGGGGTATGTGTGCGATCGGGGTGGACGCAGATATTCGCAGATGAGGAGGTGAAGGAGGAGTTTCTTAATCAAGATTTCACTGTATTGCGTAAAGGAGTTTATATGTCAGCCATACCGCCACCAGAGTGGCATCCAGACCAGCTACCCACTCAAACTAGTACTACTGCATCTACTGATAAGGGTGGAGGAGGATGGAAATGTGGATTTGTCTTGGAAGATGGTTCGAAATGCCCGGCTTGCTTTGACACATATAAGGCTGTAACACATCATCGAATGGCTAAACATGGACAGCGTGACGTGTGGACAAGAATCGTGACCACGAATGTCTGCCCCTTCTGCCTTACCACGTTCTCGTGTGTGAAGACGGCTCAGAGACATCTCTTATCCAGTGTGGCTCGGGGTGGACATTGTCTTGATCGCTCGCGCTATATTGGTGAGCGCCATCATCCCGATCGCGTTGATTGCCATCTTTGTGATTTTCGGGCTCAAACCTTCGAGCAGCTGCAGGAGCATCTACACAGTCACGTACCCCCATTCAAAGGATTATCAGAGTTGGAACCGACACATCCACCTCGCTATCGATATGCCGCCCTTTGCAGTCGCCGCACCATCTTGGGGACTGAAGCGCGGGGCCGAACCAGCTCAAGGCGCCGAGGGACCAGATCGAAAGAAGCACATCCAGGATCTGCTGGCAAAGGGAGAGGACGTGAGCACAGTCAAGAAGTTGCTCATCGTACTCACAAAGTTAAGCCTGACAAACGCGGCCGAGATCAGAGAGATCACGGGCATGCTGTGGAACACGGTGCTCGTCGACGTCAAGTCGCCCATCGCCGTCGAGATGATGGCTCAAGGGAAGTCATGCCACGAGGAGAGCAAGAAGGCCAAAGGCGACCCCGCCGCTCAAGACCGCCTTGGTCCGCCGTACGTGCACATCTTCGCAGGACTCATGCTCGGACTGTCCAAGACAGAGCCCCAGTTGGAGGAGACTCACACGAACAGCCTCGCCGAGTTCCGGACCCAGCAAGTGGCAGCAGAGGGCAAGACGCCGCTCGACCTCTTGGGCAAAGTGATGTGCTGCAAGTGCAAGGCGGCCAAAGTGAAGGACGGGAAACCAGGCCTCGCGAAGGTGACGATCGCGATGAGCACGGAGTTCGGCGCAGTGCAGGTGGCGATCTTGGCAGCTCTCGTGGCGAACGGAGGCATCAAGAAGCACGGGCCAGCCCCCAGGGGCCCGCTGGAGCGCGCAGCTCAGGAGCTTCTCGAGGTGCTCGAGGGTACGCAGTCCAAGAAGCGCTGAGTACGAGCAGGATTGGTGATGACGTTGTGGAGTTGGAAGTTCTTCCTCGGCAGCCACAGCGATTGACGGCCATCCAGCGTGTTCAGATTGGGCAGTATTCACATCGACTACTACAGATGGTGGAACGTGGTGATGTGACTCTTGAGGCCGCACTCCGCCACCCAGGTGTTGCTGCCGCCAGCTTAGTACTGCAGCCGCCCACGCGGCGGAGGAAAGGGAAGGGAAAAGGGGGGAGGGTGAGTGGCCGTGGTGTTTCTCAGGCCGCTGAGCCTTCTTCTGGGAGCCAAACTCACCCGCCCCCCCCCGACCCCACACGAAACTTTTTGAGCGATTTTTTGGGAGGGGACTGAGGCTGGAAGACGCACTGCCTATCGTGCCCTGGCTGGTGGGAGTGGCCTTTGTGTCCCCACCTCCCAGGGTTGATGGGTGGCTTCGCCCTCCTGCTTTAGAAACTCTCGCGGTTTTGGTGGTGCGGGGAGGCCCCTTAGCTTAGTCGGCAAACGAGGGTGCCTCAGACCGCCCGTGTAGTGCTCCTGCCTGCGCAAGCGGCCACCCAGAAGTTCCTTGCCAGGTCCTCAGGGCGAAGACAGGTTTTTGTTCTGAAGTTATAAACTGGTGAATTTACACCAGGAATTGCCCAGGCAACTCACGCGATCAGACGAACCTAGTGCCCCCAGAGCTCGATTCCGATTCCGATTCCTCCTCCTCCTCTTCCTCCTCCTCCTCCCCCTCCTCCTCCTCTGGAGACTGGGGGGGGCTCCCGGTCGGGGGCTGCTGGAAGCTGGAGCCGCCTGGGGGGCCGAGGCGGCCCAGCACCTGGCTCCGGCCCGCAGGGAGGGCGGGCAGGCTCGATGGTGCTGGGCTCGGGAAGGTCTCCGGTATTTTTCTGCCTCCGGGGGCCGTTCTCGGGCCCCTGGGCCGTCAAGCATGGATCCTCTGGGTGGCAAGCTGCACCACGTGGACCCCAGGAGGGGTTCGGGGGCCGATGTTTGGCGCAGGTTTGGCCTCGTTGCCCCTGCTTGACAGACGAGCTGGGGCCCCAGTCAGCTCAGCCCCCCAGCGGCCTCCGAGCTAGAAGTGATGCTGGCCCGAGGTGTCCTCAGCTTTTCGCGCCATCTCGGAGCCCCCTGGGCCTCGTAAGGGGTGCTCTGGAGGCCATGAGGGCCTGCCAGGAATCCTGAGGCCTGGCATCGCTCGGACGTGTGCATTTTTCCTTCGGCGAGGACTATTGAGGAGCATCCTTGATCATTTGGCGAAGAAGCCACGCACGAAAACGAAACAAACACAGGAAATGGACGTCCGAGCGATGGCCAGGAGGACACCTTGGACCAGGGACACCTGTGGCAACCCCTGGCCCGAGAGCTGGTGCAGTCGCAACGGGTTCGGAGAGGGAGCGGGCGAAGACCGAGCAGGACTCGCTGGCGCGGCGGAGTTCGGAGATCCTCCTCCTCGATCCTCCTCCTCGATCCTCCTCCTCGATCCTCCTCCTCCTCCTCCTCCTCCTCCTCCTCCTCCTCCTCCTCCTCCTCGATCCTCCTCCTCCTCCGCCTCCGCGATCCTCCTCCTCCTCGATCCTCCTCCTCCTCCGCCCCCTCGATCCTCCTCCTCCTCCTCCTCGATTCTCCTCCTCGATCCTCCTCGATCCTCCTCCTCCTCCTCCTCCTCCTCCTCGATCCTCCTTCTCCTCCTCCTCCTCCTTGATCCTCCTCCGCCTCCTCCTCCTCCTCCTCGATCCTCCTCCTCCCTCCTCCCTCCTCCTCCTTGAGCAGGGCTCGCCGGCGCGGTGCCGCCGTGGGAGCTGTCCACTTTTCGGGGGCGCGCGTCGCCTGCCCACGCAGCGGCCGCCGTCGGGGGTGGGCGGCCTTCCCTGCGGGACCTCGGGGGGAGGCAGGCCAGCCACAATCGGGGGAGCTGTGGTCCTTACCCACTCCTCGATTTTCCTCCTCCTCTTCCTTGATCCTCCTCCTCGATCCTCCTCCTCCTCCTCCTCCTCCTCCTCCTCCTCCTCCTCCTCCACTTTGAGCAGGGCTCGCTGGCGCAGGCCAGCCACAACTGGGGGAGCTGTGGTGCTTGCCCCCCTGGGGGGCCCATCGATTTCGACACCCCTCTCGAGAGATCGTCGATGCGATGGGTCCCCCCCAGGGGGGTGAGGACCACGGCCCCCCCAGGCATGGCTGGTCCTTGCCCTTCCCCCTGCCCCTGCCCTCCACTCAGGGGCGCCGACGGGGGGGGGGGCCGGCCATCGACCCCCCACTGCATCGCCCGCTCGTCGCCGCGGGGGGCTTGGGCTCAAGATGGGCCTGCCCCTCTACAGGGGGAATCTTCGAAAATAGTCACACTAAATAGTCAGGGGACTATTGTTCGAGCA